CATCACTCCTGTACCAATTGACCAACATTGGCTCCTCATCAAGTAATTTCTCACTTCAAAATTCTCATCCTTGTTTTCAAATCCCTCCGTCGTCTCACTCTTCGCTATCGCTGCAATTTCCAACCCTACAACCTTGTGATATCTGAGTTCCTATTATACAGGACTTTGTTGCATTCCAATCATAATCATAATTGGTTGAAGATGGTCGTTGCCTGGCAATGGTGTGGTGCGAGTGTAACTTGCCACTTATCAGCCAATACCTGACTGTTGTACAGATCTTGCTACATATGGATACTGTTGTGAAGTTGGGTAGAGTACTTGTGGGTTGGGAGGCAGGAAGTTAGAATTTGGTGGTTGTAAAGTGCTAGCTGGGAAAGCATTGTGTGGTCACTTTAAAAGATGATTATCTTTTTCTGTACTTAAAAAGGTTTGTCTATAAGCAGCAGCTTGAAAATTTGCAAGTACTCAGAGAGCACCCAAGTTGAAACATTTGTATTGAAAGGTCCCACAGTTAGTAGGCCAAGCAGCAGTTTTTATCAAGATAACAGGCTTTTGAATTTTGCCAATCAATTTCAACCAGACATTTAGACACCAAAAACCAATTAAATTTAAATCTAAATTTAAATTTAAATATGCCATGGGTACTCGCATGGGCCCAAGTATGCCTGCCTCTTTGTAGGTTACGTGGAACAATCCCTCTTCCGTAGCTACACTGACCCTAAACCTCACCTCTTCCTCCGTTTCATCGATGACTGCATTGGCGCCGCCTCATGCTCCCACGAGGAGCTCGAACAGTTCATCCACTTCACCAACACCTTCCACCCCAAACTTAAGTTCACCTGGACCATCTCTGATACCTCCCTCACCTTCCTGGACCTCTCTGTTTCCATCTCTGGCAAACACCTGGAAACCGATATCCATTTCAAGCCCACCGACTCCCACAGCTACCTAGAATACACCTCCTCCCACCCACCTTCCTGCAAAAATGGCATCCCCTATTTCCAATTCCTTCGCCTCCGCCGCATCTGCTGCCAGGATGAGGCATTCCACTCCCGAACATCTCAGATGTCCTCATTTTCAAGGACCGTAACTTCCCCCGCTCAGTGGTCGAGAACGCCCTCCACTGTGTCTCCCGCATTTCCCGCAACTCATCCCTCACACTGCCTCCCCGCAATAACAACCAAAACAGAATCCCCCTCGTCCTCACGTACCACCCCACCAACCTCCGGATCCAATGCATCATCCTCCGACCTTTCCGCCATCTGCAATCCGACCCCACCACTAAAGACATTTTTCCCTCCCCACCCTTATCTGCTTTCCAGAGGGACCCCTCTCTCCGTGACTCCCTTGTCCGCTCCACACTCCCCTCCAGCACCACCACACCCGGCACTTCTCCCTGCAACTGCAGGAAGTGCGACACCTGCCCCCATACCTCCTCCCTCACCCCCATCCCAGGCCCCAAGAAGCCCTTCCACATCAAGCAGATGTTCACCTGCACATCTGCTAATGTGGTATACTGCATCCGCTGTACCCGTTGTGGCCTCCTCTACATCGGGGAAACCAAGCAGAGGCTTGGGGACCACTTTGTGGAACACCTACGCTCAGTTCGCAAAAACAACTGCACCTCCCAGTCGCAAACCATTTCAACTCCCCCTCCCACTCCTTAGATGACATATCCATCCTGGGCCTCCTGCAGTGTCACAACGATGCCACCCGAAGGTTGCAGGAACAGCACCTCATATTTCACTTGGGAACCCTGCAGCCCAATGGTATCAATGTAGACTTCACAAGCTTCAAACTCTCCCCTCCCTCAACCACATCCCAAAACCAGCCCAGCTTGTCCCCGCCTAACCTGTCCTTCCTCCCACCTCTCCCCTCCTCCCATCTCAAGCCCTACCCCCATCTCCTACCTACTAGCCTCATCCCACCCCCTTGACCTGTCCGTCCTCCCTGGACTGATCTATCCCCTCCCTAACTCCCCACCTACACTCACCTTTACTGGCTCCAACCCCGCCTCTTTGACCTGTCTGTCTCCTCTAAACCTATCTTCTCCTTTATCCATCTTCTGTCCGCCTCCCCCTTTCTCCCTATTTATTTCTGAATCCCCTTCCCTCTCCCATTTCTGAAGAAAGGTGTAGGCCCGAAATGTCAGCTTTCCTGCTCCTCTGATGCTGCTTGGCCTGCTGTGTTCATCCAGCTCTACACCTTGTTATCTTAAATTTAAACCTGATGGTTTTGACAAAATAGGACCAATCCTATTGTAAGAAGTATTGATATGTCATCAAGGGTATAAAAGAAGGGGGCAGTTGGACAAAGGCCAGAGCTAACTGCCATCCACCAGCACTAATGGCCCTCAACACTCCGAGAGAATTGCTGGCTGTCACAGCTTTCTCTATATCTTAGAGAAAGCACCACCTAAATAACAATGGTACCCATGGCACAACTGGTTAATATTTCTGACAGAAGAAACAACAGAGAAGGCACAGAATATTATGGAAGACATATAACCCGGCTGTAAATGTAATTTTGAGAGACTGAATTCTTCCTTAAATTTAAGTGGGACTTGTATTTATTGGAATGGCATGCCATTAGAATCTTGCTTTGTTCAGGAATAGTTAGTTATCAGGTTTTATTAATAGTTTAGTTAATTTGTTCACTGTTAGAGATAGATAAATAAATTGTTATTTGTTGATTTTAAAGTGAGTGTCAGATTTATTTTATTTAACCACTAGAAGTTGCTGAAAGGCAGGTTACACCACTTTTCACATTCCTTTTACAGATTGTAGGGTGAGGTGCTCCTCTTTTGGGTGTTTCGCTTTTAATTTTCAGAGGGGGGTCAACCTCTGCTTTATAACAATACAGACTGCTTCAGTATCTGAGGATTTGTAAACGGTGCTGAACCTTGTGCAATCATGAACAAACATCCCTACTTCTGACCTCGTCACGGAGGGAAGATCATTGGTTAACCAGCTCAAGGCGGTTGGGCCTAGTCTGACAAACTCCTGCAGTGATATACCAGAACTGATTTGATTGACTTCCAACAAATTCAATCATCTTCCTTTCTGCTACGTATGACTGCAACCAGCAGAGAGTTTCCTCCCGATTCTTGTTGGTACTGATACTGGTGGAATGATGGATAGGAGATAAGATGTCCATGTTTAGGTGATCAGACTTCTTATGGCTCTTGTTGCAGATCACAGAATCCCTATGGTGTGGAAGCAGGCTATTCAGCCCATTGAGTCCACACTGATCCTCCAAAGATCATCCCATTCACATCCACCCACTACCCTTTCCCTGTAACACTGCATTTTCCCATGGCTAATCCACCTAGCCTGCACATTATGGGCAATTTAGTATGGCCAATCCACCTAATCTACACATCTTTGGACTGTGGGAGGAAACTGGAGCACCCAGAGCAAACCCACGCAGAAACGGGGAGAACGTGCAAACTTCACACAGACAGTTGCCCGAGGGTGGAATTGAACCCAGGGTCCCTGGCACTGTGTAGCAGCAGTGCTGACCACTGTGCCACTGTGCCGCCCTCAAGTCCAGACTCTGGGAGTTGGTCATCTGTTCCTATTCTGTCTTGAGGGTGATGCTGGAGGATCAAGGGACCATGGTTTCTCTCTGGCCCACTTACACTAATAATACTGTACTTCCATTAGTTTGGATCCCTCTGCCTGCTGGTCCAAGAGTTTCCATTGCATCAATCTTGTTATGTAGTTCTGTAAGGTCACCCCTGCTGTGCAGCAATGCTGCCCAGGCCTCCTGCACCACATAGAGTTCACTGGCAGTATGGAGATAGAGAAAACAGAGCTGGTGAAATAGAACAAAATAACATTCAGATGAGGCAGGTAGACAAAGTTTGAGCCTTACCCACCTTACTCTGAGTGGGTGCACACTCCCATTTGTAGGCTGTGTCCAAAAATCAGGCCACATAAATTTCACATCCTTCAAATACAGTAGGCTTCTCCTACTGTCATACGTTTAGTTTCCCATATATAGGGGAGGCGACGGCTTCGTGGTATTATCGTTGGACTGTTAATCAAGAGACCCAGATAATGTTCTGGGGACCCGGGTTTGTATCCTGCCACAGCAGATGGTGGAATTTGAATTCAATAAACATCTGGAATTAAGATTCTAATGATGACCATGAATCCATTGTCGAATTGTTGGAAAAACCCATCTGGTTCACTAATGACCTTGAGGGAAGGAAACTGCCAACCTTACCTGGTCTGGCCTACATGTGACTCCAGATCCACAGCAATGTGGTTGACTCTGAACTGCTCTCTGGGCAATTAGGGATGGGCAATAAATGCTGCCTAGCCAGCAATGCCCTCATCCTGTGAATGAATAAAGGGGATATAGTTCTTCTTATACCATGGATACAAAGTTTAACTTAATGAGTCTGACTTTTTTTTGTGTGTCATATCTTTACTATTCAGTATACTATCATCTACATCTGTTTCTAATAAGCCCACAATTCCCTCTCCTACTGATCATTTTCTCTTAACATAATTATAAAAACATTTTTTTCTGTATGTTGGCTTTTATATCCTTTGCATGTTTCTGTTGATATTCCCTTTTGCAACATTTTGTTTCTGAGCCCTTTGTTGATTTTAATCGCTCTCCCAAGTTGCTGTATTTCTGCTTTCCTTGGATTTCTGTAAGCCTTTTCTTTTAGCTTAATGCTGTGTCCCCACTCATTTCGATCTTGATTGCAGAATTAAGTGCATGGGTACAGCTTTTGCCATTTAGGGACAAGTACTCATTTTGTATTGTATCAAAATCTTCCCAGGAATGCCCCTCTGTTTATCTGTAGATTTTTTTCTAGCCCAGTGTATTGTGGCCAATTTATTTTTCAAACTAAATGGCATGACTCAAGTGAAACTTTCACACCTTCTTTATAACATTTGACAAAAAGTACAACTGTAAGCATAAACTAAACGAAGATATATTAGCCTTTTTATTTCCAAAAATTAACTTTAACCACGTAAGACTTGGGAAATAACTTATTTATTTTTGTAGACATCAGGTAATGTATGTTCCAGTTTTAAGCACTACCAACAATTTTTGGCGTCTGCAGATGATAATTACTGCTCGCAATCAGGGGTCCTTCCACATTTCACCAGATAACACTTTTTTAACATGCAACTGTAGACAAATTATGTAACTGTGGAGAATACCACTGTCAAAACCAAATGTAGTTCCATCTGACAGCCACAGGGAGGCTATGTTAGCACCGTAGTAGAATTTATTGACATTTCAACAATGTACCTTGACTATAAGGCAGTGTCCAATCGATCTGTATTATTACTGTATTCAGAAGCATTTTGCATTGAGTCTGTGCGGGATACATTGTGACTATATATCTACATATAGACTGTGAGTTTTACCTTCAGCCGAGAAATACCATGACTTGAGTATTGCTGAATAAAAGGCATACAGTGAAGCTTTTCATCTTGCACTCTTCAGAATAGCCACAAAGATGCCGCATTTTAAAGGGAGCAACAATTTATACTCCATGAGAAAATTAATCCCTTTGAACCTAAAACAAAAAGGCAAACAAAACAAAAAGTGGGAGGCAACAGTTCTCTGATGCACTCGCCATAGCAATGCTTTGACCAGTCAAAACCAACTTGCCAACCTATCAGCAGCCTTTACTCTTACAGTATAAATGCTTCCTGTGAAATGTGGCATTCTTGCATCTGTCCTGATGAGTGCAAGACACAAAAGTTTTAGTAACATGTCTCCTTTTTTAACAATACTACAAACTGCATTACCAGGTGACTAAATGACCATGACCAATTTCCTAAACAAGCCAAGGTGAAGGATTCGCTGGGTGAAAGTACAAAACAATATTTTCTTCTGGGCAATTTTTATGATACAGTTATTCTCCCAATTGGAACTGGGCTGAGAAAACTCAAAATCAGTTTACTACAAGTGGCAGAGTCGACAATTTGTTAGTTTAATTTGAGCTCAAAAGCAAGATCTTAATTGAGAAGAGATGATGGCAACTCTGAAAGGGTCTTTAAACCCATTTTAACAAATAGGAGGAAAGCCAAAGGGAACTATTTGATTGTTAGACTTAATATCAACAGCAGCAAACAAAGACAGTGAGTTAATTTTCAGAGGAATCGGTTTCTTCAGTTGAACCATCACTCTCAATGTCTACTTTCTTGCGCTGAGTGAGAGTCTTGCGATGACTGATTTTTCTGGTTGGTTCCTTCTGTGTAGGAGCACTGGAGGTTTGGTTACTGAGCATATGTTCAATTCTACCAACAGACATAAACATAGAGATTAAACATTTGCAATAAAATATCCTGCAAAAAGTATCTTTACTGATCTCTGTATCTTGCCTACACAGCCTAAGCTATGGAGCATGAAGTGGAACCACGGCAGTTTGGAGGAGTGGGGTTTGACTAGGTATTGTTTCCAAATGTGGATTGTAAGATTAAATCATTAAATTGTTTTCATTGAAAATTATTAAAATCTGGCAAATTAAGGCAACTATTAATCTGACAATTGAATACTGCACATAAGGCATGTCACACTGTTTCCTTGTGGATTTAACAAAATGAACAGCATTGAAAAAACTGCTGTCACTGTTAGATTTCTCTCTTAGGCTTAAATGCGTAGGCGATTACAGGCAACTGTGATACATTACATTTGATCAACTTTTAGGACATCGAACATAGAACAGTGCAACACAGGATCAGGCCCTTCGGCCCATGATGGTGTGCTGTACATGACGCTAAATTAAACTAATCCCTTCTGCCTACCCTTGGTCCATATCCATCCATTCCTTGCACATTCATGTGCTTATCTAAAAGTCCCTTCAGTGTCCCTATTGTATCTGCCTCCACCAGCACCCCGGCAGCTTGTTCCAGACTCCTACCAGTCTCTGGGTAAAAAAACTTGCCCCTCTTGTCTCCTTTGAACTTTCCCCCTCTCACATTAAATACATACCCCCCAGTTTTAGATATTTCAACTCTGGGAAAAAAAGATTCTGACTGTCATCGCTATCTACGCATCTCATAATTTTATAGACGTCTATCAAGTCTCCCCTCAGCCTCTGCTGCTCCAGAGAAAACAACCCTAGCTTTTCCAGCCTCTCTTGAGAGCTCATACCTTCTAATCCAGCAACATTCTGGTAAATCTCTTCTGCACCCTCTCCAAAGCCTCCACATCTTTCCTGTAATGTGGCGACCGGAATTGAACCGGAATTAGAATACTATAAGTGTGGCCTAACCAAAGTCTTATAAAGCAGCAACATGACATCCTGATTCTTATACTCAATGCTCTGACCAATAAAGGCAAGCATGCCATACACCTTCTTTACCACCGTATCTACTGCATGGCCACTTTTAGGGAGCTATGGACTTGAACCCCAAGATCCCTCTGTACATCATTGCTGTTCAGGGCCCTGGCATTAACTGTATATTTTTTTCCTTAACATTTGATCTCCCAAAGTGCAGCATCGCACACTTGCCTGAATTAAACTCCATCTGCCATGTCTCCACTATATCTGCAACTGATCTATATCCCGCTGCATCCTTTGACAACCTTCAACCTTCGACAACTCCCCCATCTTTGTGTCGTCTGCAAACTTACTAACCCACCCATTTACATTTTCATCCAAGTCATTTATATATATCACAAACAGCAGAGGTCCCAGTACGGATCCCTGCTGAACACCACTAGTCATGGACCTCCAGCCTAAAAAACAGCCCTCCACCATATCCTCTGCCTTCTATGGGCAGGCCAATTCTGAATCCAAGCGGCCAAGTTACCATGGATCCCATGCATCTTAATCTCCTGGATGTGCCTACAATAAGGTACCTTTTCGAAAGTCTTACTAAAATCCATGTAGACACCATCCACTGCTCTATCTTCTTCATCGATAACCTTTGTCACCTCTTTGAAAAATTCAGTCAAGTTAGTAAGACATGACCTGCTCCACACAAAGCTATGCCTCTCCAAATGTGCAACAGTCCCATCCCTAAGAATTCTCTCCAACAGCTTCCCAGCCACCGATGTGAGACTCACTGGTCTATAGTTTCCTGGATTATCCCTATTTCCCTTCTTGAACGGAGGAAAAACATTAGCTACTTGCCAGTCCTTGGGACCTCTCCAGTGGTTTGCGAGGATACAAAGATCTTGGTAACGGCTCCAGAAATCTCCTCTCTTGCCTCTCTCAATAACCTGGGGTAGCTACGATCAGGCTCTGGGGACTTATCCACCTTAATGCTTTTCAACCTAACCCTATACCACTCCTTTCTTGATCTCAAAATGCCTAGGTCACAGACACCAGTTTGCAAGCTTTCGGAGCGCTGCTCCTTTGTCAGGTGCAGCAACTTCATCTGACAAAGGAGCAGTGCTCTAAAAGCTTGTGATTTTAAAAGAAACCTGTTGGACTATAATCTCGTATAACACAGCGTGGAGCTGGAGGAACATGGCAGCATCAGAGGAGCAGGAAAGTTGATGTTTCGGGTCGGGACCTTCCTTAGAAATGGGGAGGGAGCTCATCCCATGGCTCAGTTTCAAAATCTCCCCACTCCCGGCCTTATCCCATGACTAACCCTCCCTCTCATCCCCGCCTCCTTGACCTGACACAACCTGTCCATCTTCTCTCCCACCTATCCGCCCCCACCCACCTCACTGACCAATCCCCACCACTGCCTATCTGCACTCACCTATCACCATCCCACTTGCCTTCCCCAGCCCCCCGACTCCTCTCTCTATTTACTTCTGAGCTCCCTTCCCCCTCCCCATTTCTGAAGAAGGGTCTCGACTCAAAATGTCAACTTTCCTGCTCCCCTGATGCTGCCTGACCTGTTGTGTTCCTCCAGCTCCACACTGTGTTATCTCTTACTCCAGCATCTGCAGTTCTTACAATCTCTGACTATAATCTGGTGTTGTGTGACTTCTGACTTTGCCTTTCCCAGACCAACATCAGTGTTTCCACATCAAAATGCCCTAGCATATTATCATGGTCCACACTAATCTCACTGTCCTCCATGTCCTTTTCCTGAGTGAATACCAATGCAAAGTACTCATTTAGGATCTCACCCACATCCTCTGCCTCCAAGTAGAGGATCTCTGTTTTATCCTTGAGTGGTCCTACCCTCTCCCTAGTTATTCCCTTGTTTTTAACCTACGTACGGAATGTCTTTGATTCTCTTTAATCTGAGGTTGTTGACTTGCTCGCTGAGCTGGCTTGTTTTTGTTCAGACGTTTTGTCACCATGCTAGGTGACATCATCAGCGCAGCTTCTGATGCAGCGATATTATTCTGCTCCGTTTGGAATTTTACTGCCTGGTCCATTATGGTGAGTAGTGTCATTTCCGGTTTTGTTCTGTATGGGTTTGTATATGGGGTCCAATTCTATATGTTTGTTGATTGCATTACGGGTGGAGAACCATGCCTCTAGGAATTCCCGGGCGTGTCTGTGTTTGTCTTGGGCTACTATGGTTACATTGTCCCAGTTACATTGTCCCTGATGGCCTTCGTTGTCTGAATGTACAGATATTAAGGACAGTTCATCATGCCGTTCTGCTGCTAGCCGATGTTCATGTATTCCGATGGCTAGTCTCCTTCCTGTCTGTCTGATATTGGTAATATCCTTAATATCGATACATTCAGACAATGAAGGCCATCAGTTTAACTGGCATAAAGTAACCATAGTAGCCCAACACAAACATAGACACGCCTGGGAATTCCTAGAGGCATGGTTCTCTACTGTAATGCAATCAACAAACATATAGAATTGGGCCCCATATACAAACCCATACAGAACAAAACCGGAAATGATAGTACTCACCATAATGGATCGAACAGTATAAATTCCAAGTGGAGTAGAATAACATCGCTTCATTGGAAGCTCCACTGATGATGTCACCTAGCATGGTGACAAAATGTCTGAACAAAAACAAGCCAGCTCAGTGAGCAAGTCAACAAGCTCATCCACAACCCGAGCGAAAGATCTTTGCCAAAGCTTCTCTTTAACCTATTTATCAAGATCATTTCATTGCCTCTTCTTGCTCTCCTAATTCCCCACTTGAGTTCTTTCCTGCTTTCTTTATATTCCTCACAGGCCCTGTCCAGTTTTAGCTTCCTAAACCTTGTACATGCTTGTTTCTTCCTTTTGATAAAATTCATTATTCAAGGGTCCCTTACCTTGCCATCCTTGTCCTTCCTCCTTACTGGAACAGACTGATCCTAAACTCTCATCAGCACGTCTTTAACAACTCCCACATGTGGACTTGCCTGATAACAGCTCCTCCCAATTAACACTCCCTACATCCTGTCTAATGCTGACGTAATTTGCGCTTTCCCAATTTAGTACCTTGCTACAAGGTCCTGACTTATCCTTGTTCATAGCTATCTTAAAACTTAAAAAGTTGTGACCACTGTTTCCAAAATGCTCTCTCACTGGAAGGTCAGTCCCTGGCCAGGCTCATTAGCCAATATAAGGTCCAGTGTGGCCCCTCCTCTAGTTGGACTATCCACATACTGTTTCAAGAAACCCTCTTGCTTGCACCTATCAAATCCTGCCCCATCTAAGCCTCTTGTTCTAAGGGAGTCCCATTCAATATAGGAGAAGTTAAAATCACCTACTATGACAACCCTGCTGTTATTGCGTCTTTCCAAAATCTGCCTACATATTTCCTCCTCAATGTATCCGGGGCTTTTGTGGGGCCTATAGTGTAATCCTCTCAGAGTGACTGCACCCATCTTATTTTTGAGCCCCATCTATATTGCCTCAGTGAATAAGCCCTCCAATATGTCCTCCCTGAGTACAGATATGACAAATCTTCCTGATTATTAATGCAACTCCTCTACCTCTTTTATCTCCCTTTCTGAAACACTGAGCAGCCAGTCCTGTCCCTCTCTCAACCAAGTCTCTGTAATTACCACAATATCATAGTCCCATGTACTGATCCAGGCTCATCTGCCTTACCTATAATACTCCTTGCATTGAAATAAACACACTTCAGCCCATCAGTCCCATTGTGTTCGTTTACCTGTCTCTGCCTGTCCTTCCTTTCAGACTTACTGGTCCTAACATCTACCTTCCCCTCAATCCCAGCACTTGCTGACCTGTTACTCTGGTTCCCGGGCTCCTGCTACTCTAGTTTAAACCCTCCTGAGCAGCGCTAGTGAACCTCCCTTTGAGGATATTGGTTCCCCTCCAGTACAGGTCACCCTTGCCCCAGAAGAGGTCCCAATGACCCAAAAACCTGAAAACCTGTCCCCTGCATGAGCTCTTTAGCCACATATTCATCTCTTCTACCTTTCTATTCCTTGCCTCGCTAGCATGTGGCACAGGTAGTAATCCAGAGATTACTACTCTCGAGGTCCTGCTTTTCAGCCTCTTTCGCTGTACTTACTCCTCAGGACCTCATCCTTTTTACCTATGTTGTTTTATATTCCAAAATTTTTAAAGCAACCTTTAATATAGTTGTGACAATGTTAAATATTAAGCTGATTCACATATTTATATACAGGTATATTCCAGAGACAGAAAGTAAACAAATTCAAACGTGGGTTGCAGTACCACCGTGTTCCTGCTGGTGGCAGCATTGACATAAAATAGACCAGAACCACTCGGAGCAAGAGTAACAAAGGGGCACACTTTAATGAAAAGTACTTTGTAAACAAGTTAATTAACAAGCCGTAATTTTTAAAAATGTGATACTTAAGTAAGGTCTAAAAATGGAGCATTCTGTGTACACTCCCTTTTTCAAAGAATACTACAAATATATCTTCACCTAAATATGTAATATCCTTGAGCTCATCTTGGCAATGAATGGGTTTGAGTATTAGGCTCTCCTGCGTTAGGTATGACATATTCATCGTGTCATATTCTGTGATTGATATATGATCCAACTATACTTGATAGATATGAAATAACCTGGCTCAGCCTGGTTCCCAAATCTCTGCAATTACAATATGGCCTTATCCCAACATCTCACAAGAAAACTCTAACTTACCAGTTTGAGCTGGATCAGAACTGAAATTCCAAAACCGAAAGAGAATCCAATGCTCTACTGAGTCCTCCTCTAATCCTACTTATAATCATCAAATAATTGTCTTTTCTTCATACATTTTAATTGAAAGAGAAATGATTTGTGCACTTTACTGAATAAAACAACGGGCAAAATTTCCACTCTGGGCATGAATGATGATCTGGACACAAACTGTACTAGTTTGATAAAGTTGTTTCGTTTAACATTCCTTTCAATTTCATTGAGACGTGTCCGAACGTAAAATCTTCCATGGGCTAGTGCAATCAAGCAATGCTTCTAACAAAGATGTCAACGAGTCATATTTTACTTGAACCATGTTTTTAAGACCATAAGACCATAAGACATAGGAGCAGAAATTAGGCCATTCGGCCCATCGAGTCTGCTCCGCCATGGAATCATGGCTGATAAGTTCCTCAACCCCATTGTCCTGCTTTCTCCCCATAACCCTTGATAATCAAGAACCTATCTATCTCAGTCTTAAATGTACTCAATGACCTGGCCTCCACAGCCTTCTGTGGCGGTGAATTCCACAGATTCATCAGTCTCTGGCTGAAGAAGTTTCTCCTTATCTCTGTTCTTAAAGGTCTTCTCTTCACTCTAAGGCTGTGCCCTTGGGTCCTAGTCTCTCCTACCAATGGAAGCATCTTCCCAACATCCACTCTGTTTTCTGCCCTCACAGGTGGTGTCCAACCTGCTGAGCCTATCTGAGACTTTTTTTGAGATTTCCAGCATCCGTGGTTAATTCACATCCATTTCAGCGTTTAGAACATAATTTATTTCAAAGTAAACTTTGCCTTATCTAGATATACCTTGACTTAATTAACAATGTTAACCTAATGAAATGTTATTAAAATAGCTGAAAGTGGGTTCATCACAAAATAAAGTAATTTCAGTTGTTGGGGGGATGGTGTTAAGGTTAAACCTGTAAAGGTAGGGGCTTGGGTTGAATGGGAAGGCACAATTTAAACAAGAGTTAGGACATCAGGAGAACACCCTTGTTCTTTTTTGGATAATGCTGAAGATTATTCCTGTCCACATCAGAGAGAAAACTGGCTCTTGGCTTCACTTGAACGACGCAGTATGGCACTCCCTTTGCCACTCATGTGCCAACATGTAATTACATTCCTGGAGTGGGCTTGAATTTATAACCTTCTAACTCTGAGGGGAAAGACTTCTACGTCAGCAAGGCCAAGGCGAAGACCTAGCAATAAGAACAAAGAAAGCTGGAAAAACTCAGCAGGTTAGGCAGCATCGGTGGTTAGAAACAGAATTAAGGTTGATGGCCTTACACCAGAACCTGCTGTCTGTTTCTCTCCACTGATTCTGACTAACCTGCTGAATTTTTCTAACCTTTCTTTTGTCTTTATTTCCAATTTCCAGCAACCACAGTATTTTGCTTTCGTATGTAGCCTAGCAATATTTGTAAACATTAGTTTTGTCTATGTGGAGCACAGCTCTACACTTCCAACTTGACATTTCATTTCTATCCTTAAAAACATCTCACTTCTCGATGTACTTGGCAGTTTCCATGCTTGAAGTTGAGGTAAATTAATGATTGCTGATTGAAATTCAAAAAGATGTAAATGCTTGGTCAATACATCCAAATTTTAAAAACGATAGGGTATACTACAAAATAACCATGCATCTAAAACATCAGCAAGTAAATTTTGGGAAGTTGGGGCTGAAGACAGTAGGACTGTAACGTGTAGTATGGGACAGAAACAGCAGTTATTGGTAAAACATATATATATATCTGTTTTTACATTCTTGTAGGTTGTAGCACACAAATTGCTGTCCTTAAAGGCACATTGTAAGATTCAGGACAATGGGCTGAAGGATGCATTAAGGCTTAGGGCAGCCACTACAAAGATTTTAAAAAAGAATGCCATCTGGTAAGGCTCTAACTAAATAGTGTACCATTGGGGTGGGCATTTTACAAAATCCCTCGGATTCTATACTTGACATCAAATGCATGTTATGAATATAACCTGTAATTACCACCACTACTAAAGACAGCAAATGTAATGTTTTTGCCCTGTTTATAAGCACTATATCCCAAAGATTAACGGACAGATTTCAGCATAACTTGGTATAGAGACAGGATATGATTGGATCAGAATCCTTGAACTGTTATGCAAAGTACATTTGCAAAGTCCATGACTAAAGTGTATTTTTGGGAAAACAAACTTACTATCCCCATAGGTGCAAACACCAAGTCCAAGACTGTAGTTTAGCCAAGCACTCACTCAATGCAAAGTAATTAGCTAAACTGGAAAATATTCCAAGTTCAGCTGAGATCAACGTGCAGGGAAATTATGTCACTAGATTTATGCTGGGGTTGACAGAAAACGAAAGTCGATCAAACAAGCAATATAGAAAACCATTTCATGGTGAGAAGGAACTCAGTGTCAATCAGACAAAAAAAGCTGCAATTATCAAATCATCAAGTGTTTACAATTCTTTCACGTACACTTTCTCCAGCTCTCGGTCCATGTCTGAATCTTTGAGAAGTTCTGCCTTATTGGGAAGAATTCCTGCAAACAGCAACAACAACAAAATTAGACAAAAGGTCTCAGGAAAGTCTAAAGTTAGGAATTGATTAAAATTGTTACAAACATTCCTAATATTTTCTTCTTCACATTACCACCTTCTTCAGGGATCACCTTTTCCAGAGCAATTAGGGATGCCATGAATGCTGGCCTAGACCATTAATGAATTAATGCATTTTTAGCAAATACCAATTAACAGATGTTTCTGTGAACAATATTACCTTGAAATGCAACTTCAGAGAGATACAGCTATAATGGTAAGAGTGATTCAAAATCACATGCAATGCAGCCCCTATTTCTTGGATTGTGGTTCAATTAAACCCATCTCAAAACAATATTACAGGTCACACTGAAGATGCTATCTGGTACGAACAGCTGTTCTCATTTGTTTGCAATAAAAGAATTCCAACAGAAAATCAAACCCAAACACAGGTCCAGATTTTCTAAGGAGCAGCAATCATGGTCTGATTGTCATTCCACTTCTGGTATTTTACATGAAGGAAAAAGCTTTGCATTCCTGGCAGGAAATTCCGATGATGGATCCTGCAGAAATGTGATGCATGTCTTCAATCCAACTAAGTCCTCATGAGGCAGGATAATCATGGGAAGGCAAATGCTTCCCTCTTTGTCATGCCAGTAGTTGTCATACTCTGTGATTTAAATGTCCAGCAGCACAGGCAAATACTTAGACAGCTCCTGTGAAAGAGTAAATATATAAGGTAAATGTGAGGTTAGGGTGCCAGACAGGAAGGGGGCCGGTTGGTATGGTGCCAGGTGGGTAAGGTGCAGGGTACCAGTCAAATAGGGTGCCACGTACCTGGCAAAGACAGCGCCAAGTGGCTTGGATGCCAAGGTGGCAGGTGGGTGAGTACCGTGGCACAAATTGAGAAGGTGAGGATTGTTTATGTCAGACTAGGCAGGAGTTATGCAGTCTGGCAGGAAGATGGGGGATTGTTGGGTCTGGGGTGGTGTCAGGTTCTTGGTGGGAATGGGGAGGGGGGCTGGGTGTTGTGGGATCCCAGGGGCAGAGGAGGTGTGGAAGTGAGTTAGTGTTGTGTCCTGAGGGGAGAAATAGGTGCAATTTGATTGGCAGTGGAGGCCAGTCAGTTCCCATGGAAGGGGTGATGGTGGGTCCAAGAGGAGTTGTGTCCGAAGCAGGTTTTCAGATTAGGGTCTCCAGCCTGTAAGAGATCTGGAGTAATGTGTGACTAAGGTAGGGGAGAGGGGGCATGAATGATAAGTTGAGTATCAATTTAATAGTTGCCCAGGAGCTGGATGAGGTTTTTAGTTGCCTGATATTTCCTGGGTAACCATTAACTGCAGTGGAACACCCAAATGCTTTGATTTAAATGGATACTTTTGGAGGATTCCAGGCTCAGGGGAAGTGCCCATCGGAATCTTCAATTTCCCATGTAATTCCCTCAGAGTCTGCTACCTTGGAGGAATTCCACAAGGTCCTGATGCACAATGCCAGTCTGCACTGCAAAAATGATCATCTGGTGATCGAAAAATCCAGCCAGGGTTTC